CGCTCTGAAGCTGCGCGCTCAAACATGTGCATGCGTCGTCAGCAGCGGACCATCACTCTTTCCCTATACGCCGACCAGCTTCTGATTCTTTATGAGGGCTTTTGGCCAGAGTGGACGCTCCAACTGTCTGAGTAACGATCATGACAAATGCGTGGCCTGATCTCGCATCTTCAATCTCGAGGGACCGGACTTGGCATCATCTACGAGTAGGAGGACTTGTAGATGCACGTTTCAGCCCAAGATCTGTGCTCAAAAGATGATCACGTGAAAGGCTGTGGAAGTAAGGTATCTGGAGTATTGTCGCTTCCGAGGCCAGTCTTGCTGATGGCCATCCGCTTCTTTCAATTGTGTCCTGTCGGCTAGGCCTTTGTGGTGTTCATGATATCATTAACCTCGTGTAACAACTGGCGTGTCTCCCAATCCCCATTCCCTGTCGGGAATACCTTATCATTCGCATGTCTCCAACATTTTCTTGATAAAACTCTGGAGGGTAGGGTTCCACAGAGCTGCAGCAACTCTCTCCTTGTCTGCTAATTGTTTATTGACCTCATCTGCCGTTGAATGCGTACCCTCTTTGATCCTGACATCAACCCTAAATCTAGGAGGAAGGGACTCTTCCAGCCGGACCCGCACTCCCAGTCCTATCACAGTGGCCAAACTGCAATGCTGGATTGTGGGAGTGATCAAGACCGTGACTGTTTGGAGATTCGAGTTTGGCCGGTTGGGAATGGTAGGTCTGATGGAAATATCGGGCAATGACACGACGGCCAGGGAGCCGAGCGTAATGGGATGTTCAGGATCAGACATGGTGGCTATCAGGTCATAGATCTCCTGGGTATCAATAGGCTCTTCTTCTGCATCGCTGTCGCTTGCCTCTATGGATGATGGACTAGCGGAACGTGTGAAAGGGTCGACAGCGAACGACGGCGCGGGATACGCAAAGGTAGAGTTACCGAAGGTATGGTCGTCCCTTGCTGATGCGCGCCGCTTTCGGGTCGGAAGATCTGAAGGGTTGAGAACCAGTGGATTCGCATTCTTTCCGTCTTCCATGGCGCGGATTTTGGTTAGGGGTGATTTCTCAAAGGGAGTCTATCCGACTTGAAACGGAGAGAAATAGGTTACGAGTGCGCGTGGATCGTGTCGCAGTGGTTGGGAGATGGATTTTGCGCCTGAAATTCAAAAGAGGCGAAGACGTCTTCTGGAAGCGTTGGAGAGTACAGTCACGTGGTCACATCTTGGCAGTTCTTCGACCATTGTCTGGAATTTGGTTAGTCAGCTGCGGAGCACGCCTTCAGAGCAGCACATTGTGGGACAGTGTCGATCATTCATTCTGTAGCCTGTCGACCGAAGAATACGCCTTGAACTGAAGCACTCAGTATCTACAGGTATCTTTGCCGCAGGTTCTCTTCGCACAGCACACGAGCTAGAAGATGAGATCATGACCCGTGTCCAAACTTCCTGGTGTCATGTTGACGTCTGTGCCCTCCAAAAGCGAATAGCTTTTCGTTCTCTGGGCCCTGCACAGCTGATGCACTCCCCGCTTGTGATCCACCACATCCTCGCCTTCGATCGGCATTGTCTCAAGTGCTTCTGGAACCTTACTTCTTTCGGCCGTCAGCACTTTTCGCCTGAGTGGCAAAGAGCAGGATTTTTCATGGTGGAAGACACGCGAGCTGGGGTGAATAACTTTTAACGAGTGCGAGTCCAATGTCATCACATGCGTTTCCGGCGGGCCGCTGTCCGCCTTCCTGGTCGTGTGTCCTGGATATACCCGCTTTGATTATGTGCAGAACACGTATTCGCACACATTCCGCTGGAAGTTCAGGCACTAAGTCCTTGAGGGTAGTTGGTATATCTGGTTAGATTGATGAAACAACGAGGCTTTCTGTCGAGAATAAACAACTAGGAGCTCTGATTAAGTGCAGAGACCGGCTCGCACTGGTGGTGCGGTCCTCTGATAATCCTGTCCTCTAACGCCACGAGCCTGTGATGGCGAGACAGATGGCGTACTCCAGGCAACCATAGCATCACAGAGTATGTTTTCTTCCCGGAAGAATCCCTACTGGTAACAGGTCCAGCTGCAGGGCCGTATCTACAATCTTTGGCTTGCTCTCAACAGCTCGAAACGGCCGATCGTGGCGCAGACAAGAACCATTGTTTGCGCCTCGGGAAGAACCAACCATCTGGTAAGAGAATGGAATTTTTGAGGGCTTACTGCACAATGGAAACCACTATGGCGCTCTCTCTGACGTTAGGTCTTCGAGTTGTGGCATCAGGCTGTCCAGGGGAAAGCCTGTCTGATCTGCGGCAATAACTGTCCAGTCCATCGTGGATCAGGGAGTAGCGTAACGCTGAACCCCCTGAGTCTTGGGATCAGGGAATTTAAGGAGCAGCTTTAGGCATGTGCAGTCATCCTTGTATCGCGCAAGCCGTAACAGTGATGGTGCCCCCTTGCACACCCGCACAGCCATATTCCTTGTAGAGTTTTGCTTCACGAGTTTTCTTTTCTTTTTATTCTTTTTTCTTCTGAAACAAAACTGGTGGTCTTATTCGCCGTGGAACCCTCGCAAAATCTCCATACGCTGGTGCGCAGTTCAATAACTCCGGGTGCCTGAGGTGCTGTTGATGGAGAACGTGGGACATTGCTGGCACAAATAGCATGTACCCTCCGAAGCGCAAGGTAGAGATGATGATCGAAGTGTCGGTCACTTGTAGACGTGTAGACTGACTCTCCACTGGTCGGTGGCCACAGGCTCGTAGGGCGGCGAGTCCGAGGGCACAGAGTTTGGTCAAGCCGGCAGTCCTGACGTTGCATTTAGGGCTGACGGCGCCTCCAGCCCCTCCAAGACAGGAGGCCAGAGGCAAAATGGCGAACAGATGATGGGTGGGTGAGCAGGGACACCAGGGAGAGAGCTGGTGAAAGCTGGCTGGGTAAGCAGCTCAACAATGATTCCTTCGTCCGTTCCCTGACGCTCCGTAGCACCGCCCACCACTCACCTTTCACCACACAGGAGCATTCATCCTTGCAATAGTGGTTGACCACTCCCCAAACTTGGGACTGCAATTCCCCTTCCTTATTTTGTATCTTAAACCGTCGCCCCTATAGGATCAGATCCTGGTGTAGATCTGCCCTCCAACCCTCCGGTGGCATTTTCGTGACCACAACCAAGGACAAGAACTCGGATGCGAATAGGCTGTGGCTGTTCCCACAAACCGGCAGCATACAAACACCATTCCTACCCACTCCACGGCCGCTGACTTCTTAGGCGAACAAGTCTTGTACCTCGTACGTTGTTCTTGTCGCATGTGCAAAGAGGGCCGTGTCCTGTCAACGCGCTCCGCCCGCTACCGTCGGAACCATCCTCCCTGCCTTGAGACTCGAACATGGCCCAGGCATCTTCACGCCTGATGCCTCGAACTTGGTGAAGTTTTTGCCTCTGCCAACGTTCTTGTGGCTGACCACAAACCCGACTCTGCCTGAACCTGTGCATTCAAAACGCTTCAAAGTGCCCCAACGTGCCGAGGTCGAAGGGTTTCGAGGTTGCGCTACACGAAAAGAGTCCCATCATCCATCATCCAAATCTGCCCATTTAGCACGCGCTCACCCTTTGGCCTCTTCCCATCTCCGTTCAACCTCACCACGCGCCTCTTTTGCGACAGCCCTCTTCTTTGCGTACGTTCTTATATGCGCGCAATCCGGCTGCCCGCTTATTCACGAGTTAGTCATTGATTCGACGCTGGACCATCTCACCACGGCCACAACTCCTCGATCGAGCACCCGCCGTTCTCGCACTTACCCAATGTGGTGTCAGTCCGAGTGGATGAGATGCCACTATGCAGAGCTATTCTCTGTCATCCGCGCCTCCTCCCGGCCCCAAGAACTACGTCTTTGTCGATGAGCATAACCGACATAAGCGACTCAAGGTAATGAGAGCCTGTGAAGGATGTCGTCGACGGAAGATCAAGTGCGACTCTGCCACAACCAACACATGGCCTTGCGCCGCCTGTGTTCGGCTGAAACTTCAATGCATCCCTCCGGCGGGAGGATTGGACGGTGATGCAGGAGATATTGGGCCGGGGAGTGCTGGCGAAGAGACGGGCGGACCGCCTTCATACTCAGCCGCATTAGTCGCACCTGGCCAACAACAAGTCCAGAGCTATGCGCCCGCAGCCCCAGCCTTCCAACTCAACCAAGGAACCCCATACTCATACGATGCATACGTGACCAATCACCAGAAGCCGTTGTTCCAAGCCAACGAAAAGACCTACGACAGCTTTTACCCAGACTCCCATCAAATCCCCGGGACGCTACACGACACCTTCCAGAATGCTTCTCAAACGTATGCGCAGACCCAATATGATGAGACATCTTTCAGGCAAGAGCGCGCTGGGTCTTCCCCGATCGACCAATTCACTGCCGAAGATCTCATGGAACACCTTGGGCAGCTCAAGATTGGTGAAAGCGGAGTCGCTCCCTATATTCGATCGGAAAAAAGCAGCAAAGAACTGGACCTCCCCATTCAGGAACCTGAACCTGAACCACGAATTGCTGCTGCCTTTAGCACCGATGCAGGCTCTCAAATCAGGATCCCTCCGGCCCTGATGCCGTCGCACGAGGACGCGATGCAAGCCTTTGAGACGTATTTCAATAACGTCCACCCATACGTGCCAGTGCTGAACAGACAACAATTCTACAATCAGTGGCACAATGATCAGTCATCCATCTCACCTCTTATCCTGGAAGCCGTTTTTGCCAATGCTGGTCGCCTGTCAGATGATCCAGCCCAAGGCGCACAATGGCTTGCTTTGGCCAACAGTAAGTACGATACACCCTTTTGGCTGTACGCTGCTAACAAGCGGGAGAACACGAACCGTTCTTTCTGGACAGTCCGCGGTTGAGCAATCTTCAGGCCTTGTTACTTCTGCTAAAAGCGCGAGAGAGTGCCCCCAAAAGAGGTTACTACTATCGTTCGTGGATGACTTGTAAAACGGCAATCACGATGGCAAAAGATCTCGAATTACATCTACACTATGAAATCCATTCCTCGGGGGAGTCATGTGGTTCCGACCCGACTGAGTGCCTGACAAAGACTCGAATCTGGCAGACACTTCTGGTTTGCGAGACCATGGTAGGAGGTCCGCAAGGTGAATAATGCTCTTCTTGCCGTAGAGTGACGTTGACTGACATATATCCAGGACGAACCGATTTCGGTGTAGATCCGAATTCTATTGATATTAGCGAAAGCCCGCCGGGCTCTGAAATGGACGACTACGAACGGACAATTTCGAGACAGTTTGCATACTTCGTTCGCAACGTCCGCAACATTCGTCTCATCACGGACGTCCACCGCAGACTGCAACGGAAGAAGGATTGGGCTCTGGACAAAGAATTCGTGGCATACAACGCTTCCTTTCAGAAATGGCCGGATGAGCTTCCACCAGACTTACAACTGCCACTTCCACCGACAGGCGAGACGCCTAATGTGACTTCCCATTTTCTGGGAAACATGCACTCTCATTATCATCTGGCCATCGTGATGCTCCATCGGCCACAGCTGTCAGCGTCTCAGTCGTTTGCTGCTGATAGTCAGTGGCGACACCATATGAGTGTCTGCTACAATTCGGCCAAGATCCTTTGTCGACTACAGGAAGGAATTCTAGCTAACTTCGATTTGACGGGGTTGTTGGTGATGCAAAGGGGGATCAATTTCACCATCTATGCCATCCTAACCTGTATCATGATTCACCTGGTTGCGCTTTCCTCGCCGGATCCAGAGTTCAACTTTGAAGCAAAGGACTACTTTGTACGACAAATGAGGATCCTTGAGCGGTGTATCTCTGCCTGGCCAATGCCAGAAACAGAGGCTCAGATCAATGCTCTTCGAGCCGCATTTTCAGCCGACGTCAACAAGCCCTTTGAACTCAAGGAGTCGTTTCCTCATGGAACACCGTCTGAGAATTCTCGCCCGTCTCCTATCTCTCCACCGTCGTACGATCGACATCAGCTACCGCTGCAGTCACAGGGTCAGAAACTCGTCGACCTTCAACAGTCGCAGCAGCAGCAAGCACAGCCTGGTCCGTACGGGGCACAACATCTAAGTCAAATGACACGACAGACCCCATACCTCTCCACGCCGCCTATTTCGGTTTATGCCGCTGATTCCAAACCTCCGACACCCTTGTATGGCCAGAACTACGAGCTGGAACAAACACCCTTTTCAAGCATCCCGAGTTCCGCGGGTGGTTACTACCAGCAGCCGACGTCGGCGACCGAAATTCAGTGGAATCCGACCCCGATCATTGACCAATTTGACACGGCGTTCGCTATTCCCGCGTCGGCGCTTGCTCCTCCACCGTCCCTGTACGGCGGCAGCGGTGCATCCCCTCCAGGGAATATGCAATCCATGCAAGCGAGCTTTACCTCGACCAGCTCCCCCACCTACGGAGCGGCTTCGTTGCCGAGCTATACCCCTCAGCAGCAACAGCCCCAACAACACTACTTTGCCGCACAGCAGTCGCAGTCATATCAGAATGCGTCACCGCAAATGGTGTCAGACTCCCAGCTGCCCATGTCCGCCGGAACCGCGTACGCTACAACCGGAGTGGGGGGCGCGGCTATGCTCGTGACCCCTCAACAGTGGCAGCAGAGTGTTGCTAATGTGATTGATGCAGGCAGGTTGAAGAGGAGGTGGGATTACACTCATTAATATTTTGGGTTCTTTTGCCTCTAGTTGGGTTATGAACTATCAATCACAAGAACGCGAAGGTTGATCTGCATGGTACCTCACCATTACAGCAAGGGCGCGTTCGCACAATGATAGTATTCCCAGCAGGCCACATACTTTGAAGGACAGCCTGGGGATACTGCTTGGTTGGGGCAGACTCGCCTTCGATCCTGTGCCCGCGCACATTCCCATATCCGCATGTGCCCAACTTCCCCATGCTCAGCTTGGACGGGTGCGCAGGAAAGGGTTCTGCATGCGCTCCATAAGTGGAGAGGGTGATCGATCACTTACCACGCGCAAAGGAGCAATCGTAGAATGGGCATCAGCGACAATAACAATGCGCGAAACAAAACGAAGACAAACACCATGGTCAACGGCCACGTACGTTTCACCATATGGGCCGAAAGCTCCTGGGCGAGGAAATGTGAGAGAGAGAAAGGGCCAGGGTGACCGGGACATGGGCAATGGTAACGACTTATGATCAGACGGGATTGACTGACTGCCTGGGCAGATATGCTGCAATTCTTGCAGTCTTACGATCGATTGATCAGGATGGATACCTGTGCATGCGTACATGTGCCAGTCTCGGAGATATATCTACGAAAAGGGACCGGAAGTCAGAAGGAGAGCCCTATTTTGGAGCAGGTAATCTCTGCTCTAGGTCATTTGTAGACCGGATTGGAAAGATATTGATGACGATGATGACATTAGACGAGAGTGTCTATGGCCGGTTTGCACGATTCCATGGATCGCAAAATATTCTCTCTTGGCCTTCTATGTGATTTTGCTCTTGCCTCTATTCTGCCCCTCCCAGAGTCCGGTTCATGCTCGTCATCGCATCGAGACAGAGACGGCTGAGATTGCTTGAAGATTCCTCTCGCGCGCGTTCAAGTCTTGCCTTCCCTTCCCAAGGTATCTAAGGGGCATGGTGTGAGGGATCAAAAATGTGTGCCTCCGCTACCGAGCGAAGGCCGGACGGGTCTGCCCAGGCTAGCAGACCCTACATCAACCCATTGTATCCCCTTTATTAGAGACCACTCCCCACACTGTCGGGCGCTGTCATAAGACATTGGATTCACCCCGGTGGTGGGAGATTAAATTCCGTGACAGAGCATGTATCTTGAGCCAGCCCGAGGAGGAATAATGCCGCTTTTCGCAGACAGTTCCTGCTTGATTGACGGGCTGTGTTTGATAGGCGACACGGTTGATATTCCAACCCATATCTTGAACCTTCGTTGTGTGGCTTCTGCTTGCACGTGTGCCGAAATATTTGTGAAATCGCTCATCGCCTCGTCAACCATTGTCCCAAACTCCTGTCCCACGCTTCAATCCTGATAGGCATCTCCATCTGCCAAAAGGGGTTCTTGCACACGTAGTCGGCGTACCGCTCGTAGATGCCCTTCATGAGAACGTCCGTGTTGGGCATGCTCGGGTCGGTGAAGAGTAGAAACTTTGTCCCGCTCAGCGTCTGGAAGACCGTGAGGCGGAAGAATGAGGATTCGAGGGACTCGATGCCCGAGGGCGGCACGGTCGGGTCTGGGTACGTCCAGTTCCTTCCTGATGGTGCGGTGCCCGAGGAGGACGTCACGGGGAGCTTGGGGGTGAGAGAGCGCGTGATTGCGTGCACGCCGTGGAACGTGCCGGCTAGCACGAGGTAGTCGTTCGTGGTGAGCGTCGAGGTGCCTGGTAGTCCCAGCGTGCCCACCACTTGGGATTGACTCTGGCCCGCGAGGCTGCCGGCGCTGGTGCCCGGGGTCGTGGTCGGGAAGGTGCGGTGATAGATGAGCGAGCCGGCTTTGGAGATGATGAGGAGGGCGAAGACGGGCCTGCGCGCGCAAATATTGAATTTAACCAAGGATGGCCCAAAAAAAAACTCCATGGACCTCAGAGGCATTGAATGGGGGGGGGAGGAGAAAGAAGACGATCGAGGTACATTTCCACACCGCGCCTCGACACCAGGTTGAACTTACATTGTGACTCTGTGAAGAAGTGAAACGAGCAGATGGGAGGAAAGGTCTGCTCTTAACGGTATGGCATCTCCGCTGTCGCCATCGCTCACCCGGTCACTGCATCAGGTACAGTGGTGGCCATGGAAGGGGTCAGTCAAGTGAGAACGAGTAGCGAAGATGTGTGCAACATTCTGTGGGGGTCTGGGGGCGATCATCGCTCCCCCGCTTACACCTTCCATCTAAATCAATGCTCGACGGTCGTCCCAGATGTATTCATAGACGTCTATTCATTGAATCTACGAGGATATCGGAGCGGCTGAAGATCTGACCAAACCCCAGATCTCGCACTGTTGGTCGTGCCTGCAAGTAACACGCAGGCAGAAAGCGCTGGCCATAGTCTGTCTCGCCCAGGCTATCTGCACGTATAAATCGTGACAGATTGCGGCTCAAAACAAGTATCATAAGTGCGTCTTCTACTTCCAGGCCTTGCTCGGCCAGGATGGTCGAGAGGCACTCTATCGCGTCTCCTGGCTCCCAATGGCTGAACCACTCTCAACACATTCTCATCTTGTCCTCCCTCTTCTCGACCTCCGTCAGCCACTGTATCAGCTCGTCTGGCTCCCTCCTTGGGTCGGTAGGGTTTGCGCCAGACATAGTATACCTCGTTCGCACAGGCAGCGCTCCGTCTCTAATTCCCACTCCTTAATGTCAGAATGGGGATTAAGCTCTTCGACCACCGCCTGGAGCTTCTCCTGCGAGGCCGTGTCGTCCCGGCGCATAGTGAAAAAAAGGTCGTCGTCCACCATCAACGTTGGTAGGAGCTCGGTCAGGTGAGGGTCGCGTCTCTGTCTTCCACTATACTACCCTCCCGTATAGAGATGGTTGGTGTCTGTCGGCGCATCTGCATCTGGCGCCTGAGAGGATCCCCCTTCGCCTTTCTCAAATCCACGTCACTGGCTGTCATCCATTACTCTCCTGTATCTTGCTGCTCTGAAGCGTCAACGGTGTCTGCCCATATGTCACAACCACGCCTCCATCTATGCCCTATCGATCTTCGACTTGTTTCCCTACAGAAGGTTTAGTGAGGTAGGTAAAGCATCTTTGAGAAACCTGAATTCTTTGAGATCATCGCATGAGTAGCTTATACTGTTATTCCCTCAATACAGTGGTCGAGCGGAATCCAGAAGTGTAGCCATTTCTAGTGCAGTAGATGAATATAGTAGGATACAGTCGTAGATGGCAGTCCAGCTCAAGAACTCCACGCGGAGGACGCCAAGGCTGCGCAGGGGCGGTGGGGGCGGCTCTCCTGCTGCTTGACGCGTTGGCGGCTGCGCCTGCGTCTGTGCCTGCATCAACCTTCAGGTTCCGCCAGCAACAGTGATTCTAGCTTCCAGGTCACTTCATTCCAACTTCCTCCGTCCGCATCCTCTATTCTAATTCCTCACAGTCCACTCTCACTCTGAAACTCAAGTGGCTTTTTTGTCAACTCCCAGTTCGACCAGGAATCATTGACGTAACTGTGAAGTTCGGGTTCACACAACACCGCCAATATGGTGCTCGAGGCGACCATGATCGTTGTTGACAACAGCGAGGCCAGCAGGAATGGCGACTATCTGTATGTGAGGTCCAGAAGTCATATACGAGTAGCTACTTATTGTCCGCCAGACCCAATCGATTCTCAGCACAGTCCGAAGTCGTCTCACTCATTTTCAACGCAAAGACCTCCTCAAATCCTGAATCCGCGGTCGGCATTATGTCCATGGCTGGGACGGGTCCCAAGGTCCTTACAACCCCCACGAACAACATTGGCGCCATCCTGGCTGGCCTACACGAGACCAAGATTAAGGGCCACATAAGGTTAGGCACGGCTATCAGCGTGGCAATGCTGGCCCTCCATCACAGAGCAAACAAATCCCAACGACAGCGGATCGTCGTTTTGATATGTAGCGAACTGGATCCGAAATTCGGGGACAAGAACGACACAGAGAAAGAATTGATCAAGTTGGCCAAGAAGTGCAAGAAGAACAACGTCTCGGTCGATTTTGTGGCCTTTGGCGATGCCGTTGAATCAAGTACGAAATCAATACTGGAGAAATTTGTGGAAGCCGTAGGTGGCTCGTCGGGAGAAGGAAATTACCTTGCCGTCATCCCACCGGGACCGGGTTTGCTTAGCGACAGCCTCATCACTACGCCTATCGTCAGCATGGGTGGAGATATGGGAGCTGGAGCTGGTGGTATGGAAGGGATTGAGACTGGCGGCGGCGCTGGTCGATTTGATGAATTTGGCATCGATGCAGCGGCAGACCCAGAACTCGCCATGGCTTTGCGGATGAGTATGGAAGAAGAACAGCATCGTCTGGAAAGAGAGCGTATAGCACGTGAGGAGGAAGAGAGACGGAATGCGGATAGGATGGAGACCATCACTGAAGAAGGCCAGGGTCAGCAGCAGGGCACAAACGGGGAAAGTCAGGACGGCGCTGGGTCCAAACAACCGCGGGTAGAGGATGATAAGCAGGAGTGATAACCGTCGACTTTGTATTTGTATTTGGGGCACATGGAATAAACCGAGCAACATTTATGGTCTGCTTGACAGATCGGAGGAAATACCACTGAAGGTGTCAAGCTATTCGGACGGACTTTTGTCTACCCCAGCACACTGTTCTGGCGAGATTCTTTATGGTTTTCCATCATTTCCTCCGGCCAATATTGCTCCGAGACACGAATTATATCCTATTCCATCCAGAACCAACCCCTGCGGAGTTCCAACGGTCTCGCGTTTCCTTGATTCGGCGCTTGCAAAGCAATGTAGATAGATGAGCCGTACGTGGAAAAGCGAACACCATCCACCCCGGTGACCATGATCGGGGTTGGAAGTGACACCATAGACAAACTGCCCCTTTTGTGTGCGCAGGAGACGATCCCCGTAGAGGATACTTCGGCACGACAAGACTTTCCGCAACGTGATGTTGAGCCTGACCTACGTCGCAAGTGATCCATTCTGACGATTGCTGGATCGGTTGGTTGATGAAGAATCGCCCTGTCTTCTTTCGCAAAGAAGTAAAATCTCCATGCGGCGTGCAGGTGTTGTCGGCCAGTATTTCCGCACGACATCCCATCCTGGATTACCTCTACCATGACAGGATTTGAGGGCGCATTGTTCTCCGTGCGAAGGGGTATGCGACGAGGATTGTTGGGTATTGTCGTTTACGCAACATGCCCGCTCCCTCCACGTTTGTGCGTGTGGTGTGGTGTGGTGTGGTGTGGTGTGGTGTGTGTGTATTATGTATGATCGGTATATCACCGTGCACCTGCTCCTCCTCCTCCACCTCCAGCACCACCCATGATCCTCTCCTCCCGACTCCTCACAATCCTGGCCTTGTCCCCAGGTAGCGGCTTAAGCTCGTCGTTCGGATCGATCGCCACCTGCGCCCCTGTGGCGGCGCCCACGTCGGCGCCAGATCCGCGCATGTTGCGTGCATCGCCGGCGGTGGTCGTCGTCGTTATCCTCCCGTCCACGCCCACGCCTGGCCCCGCGCCGCCGTTGCGGAACAGACCTTCGGGATCCTCGCCGGTCTTGAGGTACCTCGCGTAGGCGAGGCGGCGGAGGTACGCCTCCTCAAACGCGGCGATGTCTTCGTTGGTGACGGTCAGCGCGGTGGGTTTGCGCCGCAGCATGGTTGCTGTTTCGAGGATGTGATATATGTGATGGTGTGCGCGCGTCCAAGGACAGGACGAGACGGGACTGGTTCTTTGGGGGAACTGGTGGATGTGTCTTTCTCTGGTACGTATGAAAACTGGATGGATAGTCGATCTGTCGAGAGGGTTTTGTTTTAGGGGGGTTAAAATCGACCGTTTTGTGGCTGTCGCCTGCGACGATATTGAGGATAATGATATTGGTTAGATGTGGTCATGCACAAGTGGCGTTGTGTTCATCCCGCGGTTGACTTCAAGGTTGTTTACTACGTATGTATTACCTAGCGAGTATTATTGTACTTGCATGGTGGGTCCCCTGCAAACAACCCTAGGGGCCGGCCCGCCTAATACCAACTCCGTCTTCAGCGGATCTGATCAAACCAACCAACCAACCACACAAGTCTTCTCCCTACTCATATGTAGGTAGGTACACCTGCTAATGCAACAACGCGCTCCCTGTCCACAGACCCAGACAATACCAGTGCCCTACCCAGTCTACGACGACGACGATCACCACTCTCCCAATCCCGTCTCATTAAAAAATCACGCGTCATCCAAATGTCCCCGACTCGCGAGATCAGAATCCAACAGGCCATCACGGACTACCAGACGCGCAAGTATCCGTCGATCCGCGCGTGCGCGACCGCGAACGAGGTCAACTACGCGACGCTCAGCCGCCGACTGAAGGGCAGCACGCGGTCGGCCACGCTGTCGCACGAGCCGCAGCAGCTGCTGTCCAACGCGCAGGAGGTCACGCTGAAGGGGTGGATCTCCGACCTGGAGGCGCAGAGCGGCAAGACGGTCAGCTTCGACTCGGTGAATAAACTCGTCGGTATCCTGAGCACGACGACCGGAGGGTCCGGTCTGGTCGGTCATAACTGGCTGCCACGGTTTATTCAACGTCACCCGGACATTCGCTCAAAGGTCGGACCGAGAAAGACACCAAAGCAGTAAAGAAGAAGGGCGGGAACCAGAAAAAAAAACCAAATCAAAAGTGCACACGACACATTCACATTCACATTCACATTCATGGCCAGGGAACGGATATTCGTCTTTGTCTCCAACTAGATAACCCCACGCTCGCCCCCTTTCGATGATTGGAGCACGGTTCCACAACTCGCGCAGCTTTCTCGATCGATCATAAAAGGGTTTGCGCGTCCGAGGAGGAAAATGCACCAAATCGCCCGTCTTTTCACAGTCAAACACGGGCAATTGGGAGCTGCCAGGCTATCGAAACAGGGCAGTACAGGGCAGGGCAAGGCAATCCAATGCCGACGAGTTATTCGCTTGTATGGAGAGAATACAAAGCAAGCTTCTTCCCATTAGGCGACAACCACCACCATCACTACAATCATACCTAGAATGCATGTATACGCCCACAACGATAAAGGGGGATAATGGTATTTGGGCGCATCTCGAGCTTGAAGATTCTGTGACCAGGGCGATTTTCTCAGTCAGACCGTATAGCATCAATGGTGGCTTATAAACTGATCGCGATCACGATCCGCCTGGTGGACCTGGTCTCACTCGGGACTAGTATAGTGGAAGTGTTTGGCCAGACTGTGATGGTTCATGGGTTTGTTACGGCTGGAAAGCGGCCTATGTGATGATGTGGACAGCCTCGTTGATCCATATCGTTATGGACCAAGAGTCTCACGAATGCCACTAGCAATACGCAAAGCAAAAGAAGCAGGAGCAGGCCCAGAGTCGACATAACTAGTTCTCCATTATATTATTAAGTGTTATATATCCAGGGGAATCAACCAGTGATTCAACACCTTGGTCTCCAACACAGCTGTTGCACTGTTGGCCGGACTCAATCTCCATGTCCCACGGCCTCGACGTCAAGTTCTTGCCGTCTTCTCCAGAAGATTGGGGCCAGACGCTTATTCCGCCTGTGCGATTGAGTTGCCTTTTCGTCTTCATCTTCGGTGTCGCTGAAGTTAGAGACATTCTCTATCGCGTGACGGTATTTTTGCCTGCGCTCTTCGAGCTCCATCGCCCTTTTCTGGACATCTTGCCTGTGGGCGTCCCTGACCTCTTCAACCGTCATGCCCTCAGTCAAATGCTTCGAGATGTCCTTCAAGCGTGGTTTGTGCATAAAATTCTTGAGTCTTTCGTGTCGCCATTTCTCCCTGGCCTTCTCCGCTGCACGTCTCTGTGCTTCTTTCTTGTTGGAGGCGTCGACCAAAAGCTTGCCTCCTTTCTCCTTGCCCTTGGTGGCTTTCTGAGTAGCTGACAGTTGCTCGTCGGATTTCGCAGTTTTGAGCTGATCCTGATGCTTTTTGCGGTTGCGTGGATATTGAGGCAGGTCGAGGAACATGAGTTTGATCAGGTCGTAGAGGTTCAGCGCCACAAAGCCGAAGATCCATGTGAAGGCGAACAAAGGGAGAAGGAGTATGCCCAGGAGAAGCTTGCCCGCGATATTTCTACGATCCTTCATTCCTACCACTCTCCAGGCGACGAGGACACGGCCGGAGGGATAACGCACAAACCAGTATTTACACTTCTGTCCAACTTTTCGCCATTGGCTTTCCGAGTGCTCGGTAAAACCAGCTTCATCTGGTAGATCAAAAACCCACATTTTCCATTTTGCAATCTCCCTCATAAAGGTTCCAGCGTTGAGGACAAACGCAAGGGTGGCAATCAGTGCGATAATCGCAGCAGTCACAAACGAAACGGCGGTACTGTGTGACGGGGCTCCGCCCATACTGAAAATGCTTGACGCGAAACTGAGAGGTAAGAAGACGACGGTGGCGTAGGTGAAGATGCGCACATCGTCCGCAGATCGATTGGACACTCGTGCTTCCTTGAGTTGCAAGTCGTCAATAAGCCACTCTCGGAGTTGTTTGATATGATTCAGTTTCGCCTCGACCTGATTCTTCAGAACAGCCATGTTTTGAACATTGGCTTTGGCTCGGCGACGCCAAATAGAGATCTCGAGGGCATACGCAGCTTCATCATCACGCGTCCAACGAGGCTGAACTTCGCGTGCATTTGCTCGGTTTTCCCACTTGTCGGCAACATTTCGCACCGCTTCTAGGTTCTCAAGAACGTGACGGAGAAATTTGACCGTTTCGCCGTATCGGAAGTAGGTTGTCTTGTTCGTCTCGAACGTCTCTCGAAAGGTGTCATAGGCAGTGGCAGTGTACCGTCCATTGCGCTGTGACCAGATCAGCTTCGACGTCAGGATCAATTCAACGGACAGATACCGACATCTTCACCAAGGATACCGGAAACGACCCTCAAAATATTTTGTGTCTCCTCACATACAATCCTGGTCGCTCTCTCAAACCACCTTGCTTCCAAGATCTTTCGCTGGCTGTGTTCAGTGTCTCTATTCCCTTCCCCGGTAGGCCTCATTAGATTGAACGAGTTCACATCGGCAAACCATCGATCTTCGGTGTCACATTCTGGAAGATATACTGCGGCATAACAGGTCCAGTATCGGTCATAAAGGTCACCATCAAAACGGAAAGAAATTGCGCATTTCTCGATGCAATTTGTCTCGTCGCCCGGCAGTCGAAATGGCTTTCCCGAGAATATAGACTGACTGCGTGGATCTTGCTCGTCATCGGAATCATCATCATCGGTCGGAGCTGACCAGTCAGAAATGACTCTGTAGAAGCCAATATGCAACTCGGTGATCCAAGAATTGATGGACTTGTGCGTCTGCGATATCTCGTCAGAAATGAGCTCTACAGACCCTCCAGGGAAATGTCTGTACATCTTCACGGTGAAATACGTCTCGTGACTGGTGGCGAGCCAGAAAAGTCGCTATTGAGTATCGCTCTTTCTCTGGAACAGAAAGATAGAGCTTGTTTAAGCTGTCAGTAGAGCAACAGGTAGATGGCTCTCAGTGAGCAACAGATCGGTGGCCGTACCGCTAATGAGAACCTTGGTCCACACTCATATACGTATCTGGATGTCAGATGTCAATGTCAATCCCTAGGCATGAAGCAGTTTCTCACAACTCACATCAGCCTCTTCTTCACGTCATTCTTGGTCCTAGTCCTGGATGTGCGCTCAAGAAGCTCCCAGGCGTTAGGGATGAATTCTTGAATCCGCGATTGACGCTTGCCGGCCCTGATCACGTCGACGACACTTCCAAGCCGTTCATTGTCAGCATCTCGAAAGAATTCGTCGCTATCCCGATCATATAAATCAATTGCTTCGTTGAAAACGGCATAGGGAAAATTGTCCTCGCCATGATTCAAGTCTCTGAGATTGTCCAATCCAGAGCGTACTGTTTCTTTGAGGTCATCTGGTATCCCATAATCCCCGCCTGACCTGTCCGCCAAACGCTCCTGTTTCGCGAAATACCTGTAAGCATTAGTCGTCTCTCGGACTTCTCCAATGAAATTGTACAGTACCATGGAGGGTCAAACAACCATTCTGGTTCGCACACCTCAGTCAAGTCGACCACGTTGGCTCTGTCAACACTTGTGATGTTGTACAAGCCTGCCTTCGTCTTGGACCGGATGGCTTTGTAAGCCTTTTTCCAAAGTCTCTCGTCGAAGGTGACGCCATCTCTAGAACTGTCGGAGAGAGTGGAAATCTGTTTTGGGTAGAATGCAATCAGGTTTCCATAAGTTACCCTGAATAGGTAATAGGGCACCCCAAAACCGGCATTTGGAAGGTGCCCGTACCTGCGCTGAGGCTTCTTGTCTTTTGGGTCTATCTCTTCAGCCATCAGTCCGCTGCGCAAGACACACCCCAGCAGAACAGTTATACACGTAGAAGCCATTGCTGCTGGGTCTTTCGATTTATCGAGTGAAATCTTGCTGTCAGAGGCCAAAATAAGGGCCAAGCTGTATCGGAGGGGTTTCCTCCAAAACGCCTCCAGTTGAAACTGTTGCGCCTCAACGGCATTCGACCACTCATCAAGTCGATATGGAGGACGATCGGTATCAAAGAAACCGAGATCGAACTTGGGGCAAAGTATCATGGATTCCGTATACCTGAAAGAAATCAGCTCAACACTCCAAGTCCATCGAGAATCAAATGACATATATACCAATTCCATCTCGGCCGCTCCTTAGCACAGCGCTTGATGGCCAGGAGTCTCTTCTTGTTATGTTTCACTTCTTCCACCAACGAACCCGAAATCGGTGTGTGATTCTTGAACTCGACAGATTGGATCGTCGTCTCAACAGAAAACCTTTCGATCTCGAAAGAGAAGCATTCCAAGATCTTCTCCCGAAGAGCAGAAGGGGCTAGCTCTTTCGCAAGACCCGTGCTTTCCAAACTGTCGATAAGCTCCTTTGTGATAGACCGTAGCGCAGTCCACATGGCAACGTCGCCACATGTTTGAGAATCAGTATTTTCTGTCTGAACTTCGTTTAGGATGCTGAAGACGGTATGAAGAGCCTGCCAATACTGAATAGATTCACACAGATCGTACTCGGGGATCGATACTTGCTCGTCCTCTCGGTAACTGGGGTCCCACCACGACACTTGTACAGTCTCTCGACCCGATTCCCAGAGGCCAGAATTTTTGTTCCGGGTCTCGTGAAGTGCCTTCAGCCAAGGTAGAAGTCTGTTTTTAAGGGTGGCCAGAACAAAATATCGGCCCATCGGAAACTCCACATAGAAATCAAAAAGTTTCAAGAAGTTTGTAACGGTGTGAAGATGATCGTCCTCAGGAAGTTTCTTAGCACCTGAAGCGCTGTAAGTGTCGGTCCACAATCCACTCTCTGTCTTTTGGGCGACTTCAAAACACCTGAGCACCAGTGTCAGATAGGTCGAACTGGCATGCTCCTATTTGAGTACGGAAATTTACCACGCTAGATGACCTTTGCAGATTCTCTCAATGCTTGAGAGTAGGGAAGCTTTCAGCGAGTCGTCAATGATGCCTTCTTGGCTCACAAGAAGCCGATGCATACACCCGAGAAAACGGAACTGATACCTGTGCAGTGGGATTAGAACCGACACAACCGACAGGAACGACCCTTACAGAGTGGCTGAAGGAAGCATGGACACATCTCGCAGGTCCTCAGTACAGAAGAAGTAAGCACAATCGCCGTCTCTTTTCCCAGGTATGCCAATGGGTACCACTGTTAAAATGTGCTGCAAGTATCGACGAAAAAGGAAATTGGTTCGCTGGTCTGGAAGATCCTGGATCCATCTTCCAGGGCAATTATGACCCAAGTACTCATGGGCATCCACGTAGCCACAAGCTTCAAGAATTAGCAGATCCAGGGACAAGAGTTGCTTCACGATGCGGCTCACCTCGTCGAGTCTTGGGGTCTGCTCTTAACAATTTGAACTTGTCGGCAACAAGTGTCTTCATTTCTTGCTCATATGCTTCGCCCGCGTTTCCCCATAGAATGTCTGAGAAATCATCGGTTCTGGGAACATGATCCTCGAACCACCAGCACGACCTCCATTCAATCCCAAACAGACGATGAGAGTAAACGGGGTCGCCTCCAAGGTTGTGGAAGGGGACCTGAAACATGACGCGAGCCTCGCCTTCTGGAGAAAGTGATTGCTGGTCCTTGGGGCGATTTGCTCCCATCACGAGATCCTCCAATGTGCCTTGCTGTAAATCTTCTCGTGCAGGGGCCACGTGGTATCCAGGAACTCCTTCTCGTAAGAGCTTGTTTGCCTGCTCACTATCGTCGTTGGCTTTAGCATTATCGTAGGCTGTCAGAAATGATTCCTCATGGCGGCGTTGCGATGCATAGAAATCATCACTTAGTGGCCTCATGATTTTCAAGTCATATACCTGGTCTCTTGTCCATCGTTCATAGTTAAAGTCATAAACAGCCGTCAGCTCTCGTTTCCCACTCGGGGCAACCTTGGTGGGCAGGAGATGGTAAATGGCATTTGTTCGCTCGTCCTCTTTGCCCACTCCCAGCCTTGTTGGTTCACTGCAAGACTCAAACAGATCTTTCGAAGTGACAGGTAAGAGTGTCACTGGATGTCCATGGTCCGTGTATAGGGAGGCGCTGAAATTGGCATAACCGCCAGCATTGCCGCAGAGGACGATACAGGTATTACCTGAGACAGATATCCCTCCCTGGAACTCCGTGGGGCTTCGGTATTGGGAATCTTGATAAAAGTCTCGCGGGTTATCCAGAGTAAAACTCAGGTCAAATACCAGATCTACCGTGGCTTCAACGCTGCCTCTGTTAGAGAGCACACATTGATGCACGACCTTCCCATCCACAACGGCAAACACCATTTCGACTTCAATATCCTCTGCGGTGTATGAGAGCTTCGGCCACCTGTCATGGATGTACGAAACAGGGCGGAAATCTTTCTCAGGCAAGACCGATCTGTTATTCAGGCGCAGCCCGATGCCTGGACAGGAGCCTTGTATGATGTGGGCGAATTCGAAGATGTCCGAGTTGGGACGAACGTAGATTACTCCTCTCGGACCAAAATCCAGCATGCGCCTCACCTGAATGAGTTCTCCAAACTCGCTGATATACCCCACTGTGCCCTGTCCATCGCCGAAAGCGATGTCTGTCCTTATAGCAGGTTTTAAGTCTTGTGGCGGCTCGAGGACGCAGCCATGTCCAAGACTGCATTGTCTCGTTGAGGCGGTTGAAGGAGAGGAGTGGCTTGAAACTGAGCCTGCAAACACATCGCCCAATGAGCAGCAGTGGGCGGAAAAGTCAAGAGGCGCGACCAACCTTGAAGTGTCCTCCCACTGTTCTGTGCATTCAATGTATCGTCCGTTGTTGCAGTCGACTCCGCTAGGTCACTGTTGAGCTGCAAGGACAACTTGCGACATCCCGGTACAAGGTATCTTGTAGAGGAGGGGTTGCCTTGGAGAGTGTCCTGCTCCGTGTCTTGATCGACGCGGTCGCCAGTCATTTTCCCAACGATACCATCGATGAGAAGTCTCAGACTGCGGCAGTTGGCCGACAGAAAGGCGAAGGGATCCCATCCGGATGAACTTCAGCTCCAGAACTCAGGCCTGCAGTAAGGCTGGCGCCAGTGAGCCTCAAGCGCGAGATGGCGGCTGAGGGGCAAGCAACCTGGCCGCCAATCGCTACACATTTGAGTCGCTGCCCCATGACTGGTGTGAGAGGAAACGAGAGGCCGCAGAGATAGCGGCGCCAGCCTCTCTGAAATCGCTCCATGACTTACAGCTCCACGGCAGACTTGTGTCGAAGCGTTCACGGGAGGTAGTAATTTGCGTAGTAGGGCAGACCCTGAAGGATGACTGAAGTTTATACTGAGTCCTACTGTACCTCGTACTCGGTACGGAAAGTGATTGCATGCTCCTGGCGCCTGCTTGTGCGACACTGCGAGTAGGAACGTATGTACCTGGTCTCGGCAGCGCGGCTCTTCCCGCGGGGCATCACCGCACCACAACTGCCTGGCAGGCCACACATCAATCTGGTGCCCACAATCAAACCTTCAAGTCATGGAGCCGCACAAGTATCCGGCATGGGTGCTGGTACTGTGGTCATTACATCTGACAGGCCTGCAGCATCTATCTGCCATCCACATTCTGACTTTTCCTGTTCCTTGTCATTTGGTCAACAGAACGCATCCTGCCAGGGTTTCATCAGATTGGTTGGAACTCAAAGAACTGTGGTGCCTACTCATGCAGCCTATTTGAACCCTGCGCAGCCCTCAACACAAATCAGGGTACTCCAAACCCCTATTACAACGAAGAGCGATTAGACGGAAATGGATCATCATAAGCAGTCCATCCACCCGATCTCGTACTCTGATCTTCCATTCCTCTCCGACCTCGTCCACACCTGCAAACTCGCTCTCCCCATCAATCGCCTCTTATTCAAAGATTGGCCCAATGAGGCTGCTCAAAAACCGCTCTACGCAGCTGCTGTTGAAACAGCATTCCAAGGTGAATTTGTCGATTGTCTAAAATCAATCGACGAGAAGTCGGGGGACATTCTCGGATATCTTGCCTTGACTAGAAAACGGTCCTCTGCCGGGAATACAAACAATCAACCGCCCTCCGGTAAAGGCATCGGAAGTGAAAAGCCACAGGACATACCAGAATTTTTCAACTCGGAGGTTCTCGAAGCAGTATCCGGGGCGGTTTCTGAGATCGCCCGAAGCGCGGTAGGATTCGATCATTTCGGTATAACGTCTTGTGGCCAACGATGACCACCTATGCTGACCAAGAGGGAGCAGAGCTCTCATATATCTGCGTTAAGCCTTCGACCCGTCGACAAGGGATAGGCTCACAACTGGTCCATGCCTGCCTCGAAAGGGCAAGGACTGAAGGTGTCCCACTCGTGGTCTGCTCTGAGCCCGCTGCGCACGATTTCTTTCTCAAGTTAGGCTTCACGGATACCACAAGCGTGGACATTGATTTGAGACGGTGGGCTCCAAAATACAGTGGTTTTGGCCTATTCAGATTATTTGGAATGATTTGGTCTCCTTGATTTTTAGCCATTGACGCTGACCAGCAGCCAGCCAAATGCCACCATTCTGGAAAAAAGAGAGAGCACTCCTATACTTTCCCCTGCTATGGTCAAAGTGCGAGACATGAAGCAAGTGCTCCTATCTCACTCACCGCTCCTTTAGTTTTCCTTGATGCTTGAGACAAACGCCATTGCACACCGCTTATTCCATCGACGTCCAACAGAGAAGATCGCCGTGGAAAATGACCGAACACTCCTTCACGCTCGATCTCCCAACACAGCCTGAATGAAGGGCAGAAATCCGCTTGGCCCAGAAGTTGCATCCTTCAAGTGTACGCAGGTATCCCCGCTGCGGGAGATGGCTTCTTTGACAATCTCCAGGCGTAGCTCGAGCTCCAAGCCCGCACCTACAAAGACATGCTGGATCGTGCGAGCCTCTTTGGCGGCTTGGTCGAAGGCACTTTGTACGTCGTCCAGAGTAGTTCCTACATAAACCCGCCTGTCAGACCCGGGAGATGGGGAGGCCTTCTCGTCGATGTTCATCTGCAGGAGCCGGGCTTGCGCCTCGTCCAAAGCGTTGCCTTTGCGGGCGACGAGGAGGACGGTCAAGGTGGTGTCGAGGGTGGCCATTATTCCTATCCCCTTGTTTTGAAACCCCTGTATGTGGAGCAGATATGGGCTTTTCGAAGCCTCTTTGCAAAGAAAACCGCGATGATAACAATATGACGATGATAATATGATGATGAGGAGACAAGTAAGCCACTTTCAGATCGTGTCTGGTCGTTCCCCGGCAAGCATCCTCTAATATATTTTATCTTACCACCCGCCATTCAAGCCCGTTCCATCGCTCTCTTTATATACACATACGTACATATGTATATCCGGGTACGAGGTACCTATGTATGCGGTATGTTGGACCCTCCCCGGACGGACGGACGAACAAGGCTGGGCGCACTAAGGGGCGAGGAGGTGCGGCGAGGCAGACATGAGTGTGTGGGATATCGATCGGCACGGTCAATTCATTCCCCCTCGCAGTTCCCCCCTACCTACCTAGAACCTCGTACTCGTATCATCACAGCCAGCCATAGTGGCCGGGCAGCTGAGGCTTAATAAGCCGAAAAGGTCGGGATCGGGTCAAGGACATGATTCCCGCCGAGTTGTTTTATCTCCTTGGGACTTTATACAGGTCGCAGTTCAGCACTTCCCTCGCTCTCAAAGGGGGTATCGGCTTTCATCTGGCCCTGGAGCCGAGTGAGTGGGTCTTCTTGCTTGCCCGTCAGGCCCATACACCTGTCTACCCCGGATCGTTGAATGATGTTTGGTTTCAAAGAAAAGTTTCATTATCTCATGTTCATTGAGGGAATTTCTTGATACAAAGCTGCAATATTCTCCATTGGGAGGACCCAACTTCTCCCTGCCCACAGACCCAGTGTTCAGCAGTTGGCCGCTTTCATCTTGCTCCGCCTTTGTGCCTGCAACAATCTCTATGCGGCCTCGCAGTGAGTCTTGTCCATTGTCTCCGTCCGTTTAGAGCCGTACTGGGCGCCTCCATGGCGGGCTTTTCGTCCACCGGTCCTCTTTCAGCATACGCTCTGACCACTCGCTGCCTGGCTTTCCACGAGTGCGACACCTAGATTTGTCAACATCGACCGGGAGCGTAGAATGAGAAGATCAGCTGGTAGTGCACTTGGCAATGGTCGTCTGGGGAACTCGGCTTCCCAATGCACGGCACGCGACACCAGCCTGCGTTCGTCTCTTCTGTTGGCCGGAGTCAACCGCGAACAAGGACACCCCGAATACCACCTCAAGCTTGTCTCTCATCTTCTCCCAAGATCCATTTCTTTTGAAGAAACCAGCTCCAAGTGTTGCCCAGGATAGCTTGCCCCTTTGGTGCCACTTTGAATCACATAACCCGCCCAAAAAATCCAGTAGAACATTAGTTTTGCGCAAATCTCAAGAAAATTTCCACCGGTTGCCACAATTAAGACACTCGCAAAAGGTTGTCATCGGTTCATCAGCACTCCGCGTCTGCGCTTGAGAATAGCTGACCTTTTTCTGGTGACACTTTCCGCACTCCAGAGAAGTACTCACGGACTTCTCTTCCTGTGCCACCATGGCATTATTCATGTTCTCCTTTGCTATCTTGCGGTCTTCCTCTAGTTGTTGCCGCGATTTCATCTCTTCGTGTGACATGGTGACAAATCGTTGTGCGGTAACTTCCCCCGACAAAATGCGCACTCGCAGTCCCGGGTTGGATTTATTCTTGAGGTTCTGGTACAAAGAGCGGATTTTGTCTTTGTACACGGTCGAAGCCGAGGACCCTTTAGCGTCAGGGAGATTGAGGGCAGCGGTCTCGATTTGCTTGGCCAGGTCAAGGATCTGTTTCATGGGAATTTCGGAACCCAGACATAGACCATCGTAGATGAGCCCGATACAGTTGTTTCGAGCCGTGTCGGATGTCAACTCGTCGCGCGGTACTTTATCCGTTTTCCAGTTGCGTTTATCAGGTGCAACTCCAGGGCTGGCCGCCTTTGGCGTGGGTGTGGCGGGCTTCTGGGGTACCGGCGAGCTCGTGCCATTCGACCTCGCCCCGTTGGCGGTAGGTGTAGACGTCCCGCTCGCCAACTTTTGCTCGTTCACCACATGCCGCCAGCGGGATATTATCTCTGCAGCCAGTTGGCTGACTTGAGGGTCCACGTTAGGTACTCCCTTCACTTTATTAACGATCTTGCCTATTCCCGTGGCGCGCAAAAGTTCTTCGCTAGGCCGTACGTTCGCCTTTAGGTCGCGCAGAATTGTCAGGATATTTGCAGACGGCTCCTTCGCGGCAATAGCTTTCTGGAGTGCCGAGCCCTTGGAGAGGATCTCCCTGCGATCCATCTCGACAGTAGAGAAATGTGTGGTTTCGGCGGAGAGAGCGAATCAGGCGTGAACGGCGGTGACGAATCCCGAATGAGTGCTGAGGGTTCGGACAGAGTCGGCGACGGTGTTTCCCTATTTACTTGATGGTGATTAGCAAGTCAGAGTGAAGTGACCAAAGGTGGGAGAGGATCATGGCAGGCAGAACACAGTTAGAACATGAAGACTCCCGGTGAGCATCGCACCCCCAGGCACTGTGCGCGCAACCTTAAGGCCTCGTGGGAAACCTCCTCTCCCGATTTCCTCACGGTGAGCTTGTCTCTTCGGGTGCGCGCAGTGTTGGGCCTCGTTCAGAAGGTGGGATGTGGGCGAGATGCATGAGTTCCATCAGGCAGTCCTTACCTGAATCAATATCTCGCTGCGACCATTCCGCACTGTCCCAGGGTCCACGGTCTTGGATAAGTCCTCAGATGTGCTGGCCCACGAGATCAAAGCTGGTAACAGAAGGAAAGATGTCGCATAAGGCCTTGCGTGGGAGTTGAGGCGAGCGAAATAACGGTTCCGGAGGTGGAGTCAAATGACTGTCATTAGAACCAGGAATTTCCGTTTTCA